ACAGAGAATGATATTGGCTTTTGAGCCCAACAACCTCGGCGTAAGTCTGTTAGTGCGCGAGAACAAGGCGAACTATCGTCCTATCGTCAAATAAGCAGTCAGGGCATTCGCGACTTAGCATCCATGTCATTATTGAGGGTCCTATCTCTGAGGCTATAAACGATTTCGGCTATCTGTGAACCAACTTCAATTACAGCCACAATCTACGACCCGAAATCTAGTGTGATATCACTCTTACTACCGTTTGGACTGGGTAGGAAATTAAAAAGTAAGATCCCATCTCAGCAAAGAAAGATACAGGTTTTCTTCATTGCTGATCACTACCCTTCACTGCGGAAAAGCGTATTCAATGGCAACAACAAAAGAGTCGGCTTTAGATTTGTGGTGCCCTTAGTATGGGCGATACCGAAGACTGCAGACGTTGGATCTATGAGATAAACCCCATAAACAGCCGGCTTGACATACTTCAGTGTATTAAGAGACAGCGGATACACTGACATAGTCAGAAGGACTTGGCTTCCCGTAAAGTTTTCAATCGACGTCGGCCTTTGAAGTGAAAAAATTAGCTGTGGGATATTGCCTACGTCTATTGTTAAGAAAAACTTTTATTTATGAACATATATACATACATACTCGCCATACATATTGCCTTGAAGCCGCTTAAATAATCCCTCTCTGTCAGCCATATATGTTATGACGTAGAATGGTGGCAGATCTATCATAATCAATAAAGCGGACAGTGAGAAGGGTTGATTGGGAAATTCAGCTGTGGACAGAGCTTGCAAAGATGGGGACAAAACTCTGAAATGCTTTCTTGCGAGTGCCCGGCTTTAAACAAAACGGGGTCTCATATCTTCCAAGATGCCCTAAGCTCCTGCGAAATAGAAAGAAATGAGTCTAACATATGGTTTAGTCAAGCTGGGGAGTACAATGAGTTCATCCAGTGGCTTAAGTGTAGCCGCTTGCATGCAATCGGGTCCTCAATTTCCTTCTTCAAATTATCAACCGGGCGAGTAGAGCTCTAGGAATCGCTCAAATAGGCTAATTTATCTGGCGACTATTCTTAGATGTATTTCTAACTCCTGTTAATACGGAAGATTATCAGTTCTGTGATTCGCCTGCTGGATCTGATACCGATAAAACAAATCCAAGTGTTTACACTTCGATCGTCCGTTCAACATAAAGTAATATCTATGCCGATCTTTTACCAATTTGAACCATGGTTTTGGCCTCCTTTAAAGTTGAGGTAGACTGAATTTCGGATGCAGACTTCTTTACTTTTGTGGATACCTGCTTTTTTCAAGAGCTTCGGTATATGAGCCAACGTGTTGTTGTTGTAACCGAAAAAATTTTCCCCAACGTAGTTTTTTGGAGAGACAGTCCTTGGCTGTCCGAGGGAGCCATTGGTTTTCACTCGCCTCTTACGACAGTCATGCCTTACCGCAAGTAAATTCTTGAACACCTAACCCGCATGGTGGGGGAGTGAGCAAACCTCATTCACTCTGCTTCAAGCAGTCAAAAGTTATTGGCTTACGAACTCCGCTTCCTGTGCAAATCGTCCGATACTCAGCTACAGGCTCTGACGGCTATTCAAATCTTTGCGCCTTCCTTCAAGCCCTCAATTTTATCCCTTCTCCCACCGCGAAAGGAACTTCCTATAAATAAATTTTGCATTTCATCGAACATCGAATTCCTTTGCGCTCTTTACCCAAATTGAAAATCAACAAAAACAAAGTAAACAGCGCACCCAACCCACTCAACCATCAAACCAACGCACACCGGCCCATCCACACGAACACAAGCACTTCAGCCACGCAGCGTTGTAAGCGGGTTTGCTTGAGTTTTGCGCAACTTTTCACCAACTTTTGATTTGTTGCGCCCTTCTTCACTTTGAGTTTGAAGTTCTTTTCTTTTTTTATCTCTTTTTTTTTCGCTCTGTGAGCATGTTAGGATTTGTTGCCTTTTTGCTGATTAAGCAAGCGGGAGGGTTGTCGCATAAACGCATTCAAACGAACATAGACATGCGAACCGTCTCTTCAAGTCAATCAGGCACATGGAGGTGTAGGTGAAGCGAGGCTTGTGGGCGCAACGAGATGCAAATGCGGCAAATATCACTCGCACAAAATCAATTCAAGTGTATAATTGCGATAATCTGCTTTTAAGTAGTTAAATAAATAAAGTTAATTTCGAAGAAGAAGAAAAGGGTGGGAGAAAGTTAGACGAACTCGTATGCGTAAGACGCGTCTTTTGGAGAAGAGGCTTGACGAAATATACGGCGATTGAGGATGAAAGTATTGAAAGCAAAAGTGTTTAGTGGCGCGCGGAAGAATCGGAAACAGAGTTCTAGCTGGGAGAAGGAGCGGGAAGAAATTAAAGTTATGAGCTGTGTGAATCGGTGAATGGTTTGTAGAAATAAAAGAGGCTCGGGGACAGTGTAGATGGATAAATTATATTTTCTTATTTAAATAATAACAAAAATAATTTTTTTTTGCTTTCGGTAAATGAAAATTTCAGAAAAAAATTTATTATTTTTTATAAATTAAAAACTTTTAATAATTATTTAATAACAAGCCACTCTGCTCAATAATACCAACTGGCAATCCTTTTTAAAGTAGCTTAAAAACTGCTATGAAATACAAAAAATTATATATTTTTCTTCTTTAATAAATTATACATTTTTACACAGTGGCAACGCTTTATGAAGAAATCTCGTAACAGAATTCATTCTTAGTCGCACCTTTGTCTACTCTGAAACCAAAAAAAAATGTTTTTCTTTTTGTAAATAATTAAAGTTTTTAGTGGCAACCCTCTTTTCTACCGGAAATTTTTCTTACTCGCACCTTTGTCTACTCTGAAACCAAAAAATTATTAATTTTTTTAGTTATATTTAATTATAAATTTTTACACAGTGGCAACCCTTTATGAAGAAATCTCGTAACAGAATTCATTCTTACTCGCATCTTTGTCTACTCTGAAACCAAAAAAAAAAATTTGTTTTTCTTTTTGTAAATAATTAATGTTTTTACAAAGTGGCAACCCTTTTTTCTACCGGAAATTTTTCTTACTCGCACCTTTGTCTACTCTGAAACCAAAAAAAAAATTGTTTTTCTTTTGTAAATAATTAAAGTTTTTACAAAGTGGCAACCCTTTTTTCTACCGGAAATTTTTCTTACTAGCACTTTTGTCTACTCTGAAACCAAAAAAATATTAATTTTTTTTATTTATATATAATTATAAATTTTTACACAGTGGCAACCCTTTATGAAGAAATCTCGTAACGGAATTCATTCTTAGTCGCACCTTTGGCTACTCTGAAACCAAAAAAAGTTGTTTTTCTTTTTGTAAATAATTAAAGTTTTAACAAAGTGGCAACCCTTTTTTCTTACGGAAATTTTTCTTACTCGCACCTTTGTCTACTCTGAAACCAAACAAATATTAGCTTTTTTAGTTATATTTAAATATAAATTTTTACATAGTGGCAACCCTTTATGAAGAAATCTCGTAACAGAATTCATTCTTAGTCGCACCTTTGTCTACTCTGAAACCAAAAAAAAATGTTTTTCTTTTTGTAAATAATTAAAGTTTTTAGTGGCAACCCTCTTTTCTACCGGAAATTTTTCTTACTCGCACTTTTGTCTACTCTGAAACCAAAAAAATATTAATTTTTTTTTATTTATACATAATTATATATTTTTACACAGTGGCAACCCTTTATGAAGAAATCTCGTAACGGAATTCATTCTTAGTCGCACCTTTGGCTACTCTGAAACCAAAAAAAATTGTTTTCCTTTTTGTAAATAATTAAAGTTTTTACAAAGTGGCAACCCCTTTTTCTACCGGAAATTTTTCTAACTCGCACTTTTGTCTACTCTGAAACCAAAAAATTATTAATTTTTTTAGTTATATTTAATTATAAATTTCTACACAGTGGCAACACTTTATGGAAAAATCTCGTAGCAGAATTTTTTCTTACACTTATCTTGCTTGAAACCAAACAAAATACTGTTTTTTTTTCAATTTTTATAAATAATTAAAGTTTTACACTGTGGCCATCCTTTTTTAAAAAAATCTCAAATCTCAAAATCTCTCTAATTTAAAACAATAGAACGTTTTTTAGTTCATAACTAAATAAGATTTCTTACACAGTGGCAATCCTTTTTGGAAAATTTCTATCGTAGATTTCTTTCTTACCCTTGACTACTCTGAAACCCAAAAATATTGACTTTTTAGTTATTTCTTCGTATTTAATTTTAAATCCTTTAACAGTGGCATCCCTTTTATACACTTTTATCCCTTTCTGAGAAAATTTCTTAGTCTTGTTTTATGTTATTATACCCAAATTATAGTATTTGAATTTTTGTATAAACTTTTATCAAATAAGTTTTTGATATAGGTGGCAGCTCCTTTTAATTTTTAATTTAATTCGAAACTGTTTTCAAATAGTTACTGAGCCTCTTTAATTTACTACTACTTGTAACATTTCGATCATCTTTTGTAACTTATGGAACTAAAATAGATAAGAAAATAAAGGTGGCAACTCTTTAAAAAATAATTTTATATTTCAAAATTTTACATTGAGCCCTTCAGTATGATACCCATGAATTGTATAAGACTTCCTTTATTTTAATAATTTAGATATCAATAAATTGTAAACGGGTGGCAACTCTGGTCAAAAACATTTCAAATTTGAAACCTTCTCAAATGCTTTTAGCTTTCTCATTACATCGTATGGTTTCTTTTTCTAGTAAATATGAGAAATAAATTCTTTAAACAGGTGGCAACACTTCAATTAAATATTTTCAACTCGAATCTTTCTTATTGCTCCGTGTACTAACTACAATTCTGCTTTTCTCCATTTTCTATAATATTTTTTTTTTAATTTTCAACTAGGTGGCAACTATATGTTTCTTGAACAAAGTAGCTTTTATATATTCCATTAACAATCCTTATTTTACTTACGTAATTATATTCTTTCTACACTCTCCCCCCACCTTTTCCAGCCGTTCAACATGAGCGCGGTCCACGCAAGCCGAAATTGCATCCACAGCTGCATCATCACCATCATCCCCATCACCCGCACCATCCACACCATCATCATCACCATCACAACGGCTTGCCGCATCACCATCCCGGCCACCATCTGCCCGTCTCGCTGGTCACTAACGTGTCGGCCTCCTTCAATTACACCTCGCACATATCCACCCACCCTGTACAGGGTTTCCAACCACCAGTCGCACATCCGACCGCCTTCCATCATCCCGGACATGCGCTGGCGCAGCATAGCGCTTTACAAAATGGCGCCGTCGCCACGTTACCACCACATCCACAGCTACACTTTCCTCCGCATCTCTTACCGCACATGCATCACAATCTCATTGCGGAGGCGACCAGTAAGTTGCCAAGCATCTCAGCAACAGCGACGGCTACAACTGCTGCGACAATTGTGGGCGCTGTAAATGCTGCCGCTGCAGTGCATTCAACAGCTACAACGTCTAAACATATGCCGCTGTCATTGACCACCAACGGCGCCAGCAATAATATGCCCACTTATGACTTGACAAATAGTGGTGGTGGCGGTGGCGGTGGCTCGTCAGGTGGGGCAAGCATCGGCGCTGCCAGCACTACCAGCCTGGAGTTCTATGCAAAGTCAACGCTGACTGCGCACAATTACTCCTCGCCCTCGCCAACGCCCTCCATACAGTCCATCTCGAGTATCGGCGGTCGCAGTTCGTTGGGCAGTGAGAGTCCGCGTGTGAATGTAGAGACGGAAACCCCATCAGCCACGCCGCCGCTATCGACTAGCGCCTCGCCAGTGCCCTCGTTGACAGATACCAATGTTACTGGCGGTCCAACATCGCCGATTATAATTATTAATGGCAATAGCAATAACAACAATAGCGATGCGTCGGACAACAACAATGATAGTAGCGTAAACAATCGACATTCCAAGGCGGGTAGTGGTGGTGGCAGCAGTTTGACAGCCAGTAGCGGCACTCCATCGCGTTCGACACCACTCTCCAGTCATTCCCCACCAGCGCAACTCGGTGGCGCGTGTGCCTCGAGCAGTTCAAGTTCGTCGGCTGCTGCTGCAGCTTTGTATGCAGCGCGACAAAATGGCTTCCTGGAACTGTTACTCAGGCCGGACAAGTGTCAGGAGATCATACAGTATCAGGTGCACAATTCGTTGCTCTTTCCGGCTTTGCCACAACAACTGATCGGTGTCGATTCGCGCTTGCTCTCATGGGAGATGCTACAGGAGACAACAGCTCGCTTACTCTTCATGGCTGTGCGTTGGGTTAAGTGCTTGATGCCCTTCCAGACGCTCTCGAAGAACGATCAAGAATTGCTGCTGCAGGTAAGTTCTTTAGTGTGTTTATTGTACGTTTCCTGAGAGCTTCATGAGGGTAAAGAAATGTCAGGTCATGGCTAATACCATGATACTGGAGGAACGTACAGTTTTCATTCAATACGTCTTTAACGTCCCTCAGTTCTCTGTGTGAAATTTTTCCACCGTCTCTCACTAACTTGAAGGTTTCTTCCTTACAATGATGTTTTTATGCTCTGTTCGGTACCCTAGTACCCTCTCACCTTGAGCCTTCCGGTGGGCGAACTTCATCAAAATACCCTTTATGGAACTACTCGTTTCCAAGACTCACTGAAAGGAAAAAGAAGAAAGAAATCAGACCTGTATTGATGCGTAGAACCATCTGTGGTAAGAGACACGTGCAAGAATATCAATCAAAAGATTCCCCCGAACATTTCTATAAGACAGAAAAACTTCTGAGACAGAGAAAAATACGGTCCAAACAACAAGTAGGCAATTTAAGAACACCAACAGAGATTTGAAAGCATTTTGTTCCCGTGAATAACATCGAGGTAAACAAACTACGCCTTCTTCGTCAACATAGAACTCGCGCTGCCGTCGCCGTATTCGGCGTTCTAACAGGACTGTAGCTGAGAGATTTAGTAAGTGAATTCTTACCTATCTTCCGAAATACATCGAGGAAGTCGAATTTTATGCTCTTATCGACATAGAGATCAAGCTGTTCCAGATACAATAGTTCTCAGGATTCTAACAGGGCATTGGATGTCTGGTTGAGCTACCCGAAATCACCAACTTTCCTTAAATCCACTAATGGAAAACCCGCGTACTTTGGTTCAGCCTCGTGGAAGTAGCCCGTTCGCGCGATTTCCAATGCGTCAAACTCTCTAACAAATCTTAGGCGATATACAGCTACTCCTAGAGCCGTTTTAGGTACGGAGGCAAAGGCTTAAGCTCCCTCAATTTTTTTTATATACAATCTCTTATATGTTACTTAACTCTAACACCTATTTTTTTCTTCTCTCCCCCACCCAGGAATCCTGGAAGGAGCTCTTCCTCCTCAACCTCGCACAATGGACCATTCCCCTCGATCTCACGCCCATACTCGAATCACCGCTCATCAAAGAACGCGTACTACAAGACGAAGCAACACAAGTCGAAATGAAGACCATACAAGAAATACTCTGTCGCTTTCGACAAATCGCGCCGGACGGCAGTGAGGTGGGCTGCATGAAGGCCATAGCACTCTTTGCGCCCGAAACAGCAGGCCTCTGCGATGTACAACCCGTCGAGATGTTGCAAGATCAAGCACAGTGCATACTCTCCGATCATGTGCGTCTGGAGTATCCACGACAAGCGACACGCTTCGGACGTCTGCTGCTGTTGCTGCCCTCCTTGCGTACCATACGCGCAGCGACCATTGAGGCGCTCTTCTTCAAGGAGACCATTGGCAATGTGCCCATTGCACGACTGCTGAGGGATATGTACGTAATGGAACCGGCGGCGCAAACGTTGGTGAAGTAAGCAGTGTGCGGAAGGCAATGGTGGGATATTAGTTGTTAAAGTGCAAGTGTAAATAAGATTTGTGCTCAAGTGGAGTCGAGTCTGGACATGCCATGCTGGATGTGAGAGTGCCGCTGCTGGTATTGATGGGTGTGACTGCTGTTGTTGGTGTACATTTTTTGTTTCAATTGTTTTTTTTCTTTTTGCTGCTTTTGCTGGTTGCTGTTATTGTTGTTGCTGCTGTTGTTGTTGCAGTCCACTTTATTTGCCCGCTACGTGTGTATGCATGCCGTTTGAATGCGCCCAGCTGTCGATTTTCCCAACACTTCCGCTTCCCTGACAACGCGCGTTCTTTGCGCGTTTCTTTTGCTTTCGCTTGCATAACTTCTTTTTCCTCCTTCTTCTCCTCCTCCTCCTCCTCCTCTTCTACTATTTGCTGCAAGCTGTGACAGCTTTTACATTATGATGCCCTGACACGCTGGTTGTTGTTATGTGCCGTGCTCTCGACTGGTTTACTCTTCTAATGTCACACGTGTGTATGTATGTGTGTGTGCGTATGTGTGTATTTGTAAATGTAAAAAAAATAACGTTTAAATAAAAATACCGTTAGAAATGCGCGCGCGAGTGCCAGCAAATGATTTATTCCGCTGGCAATTTCTTTATTTATTTTTCATTCGACATTACGCCCGCGACCTACACCGTTAGCTTAGTATTTTTCTATAGCTTTTCACGGAATTTTGTTTTTTGCCTTTACTTTTACCTTCAAATTTCGCGTGCACTTTACGCTATTATTTTTTTTTTAGTTTTTTTTTTTTTGTAATTTTCAATATTTCTTTTAATATTTTTTTATCACTTTATTTTTTCCCTTTTCTTTCTATTTTTTATTTATTTTTTTCTCATTTTATTATTCTAAATTTTTTTCTATTTTCTCATCATGACATCAGCTCACCTGCTTCGACACAACGTCCCAACCACCTCAGAGTTACAACTATTCTATATATTTTCTCTCTACGCTTTCTTCCTCCTGCTTCTCCTCCCCTTTTCTACATTTTTTCTTGCGCACCAATATCCGTCGGCTATTTGTGCTCAATCTCGCTTTGGCAAAATGTATGGACTTTACATTTGATATTTTAAATTTATGATTTTTTCCAACTCCCATTTATGGCCACCCCAACCAACCGCTTTAAGCCACTCGCACATCTCTCTCACTATCTCGCTCTCTTTCTCTGCACCCCTCTCGCCTGCGCTCTTGCTTTCGATTGCTCGTCATAACGTTTTTCGCGCGCGCATTTTTTCGCTTTGCCATTGCAAGTTTAGAAATAATGAAAAAATAACTTTGCCGGCGGTATTTCTAAATTCAATTCAATTGGACACTCCAACCAGCAAACGCTTATGAAAACAGACAGTCAGTGTACGTGTATGTATGTATGTACATATGTAGTAGCTAAAAATAAAATGGGAAAGCGGAAAAATAATAACTGAAAAAAAATGGAAAAAAAATAATTGAAAAAAAAATTATTTGAAAAAAAAAATATCGAAAAATAATCTCAAAAATATGCGCTCTAAAATAAATTGTGAAAAAATTACCTTTGCACCTGCTCGATTTTATTAACTTGTCGATTTATGGTTTGCTCGCTGTTGATTACATTTTCCGCTTTTTTCGCGCAAAATATGGCGAAAAAGAAATTAAAATATTATTTTTAAAATATTTTTCTATTTTTTTAAAACACATTTTTGTGCCAACACAAATCAGCATATTTCGATGGCATATTTTTTCAAACACTTCAAATTGCTTTTTAGAGCCAAAAAAAAAAAAACAAAAAAATTTTAAAAATAATAAAAATAATAAAAAATAATTTTCAAATTTATAATAAAATTTTATGTTAACACCAGAGTTGTTATTTCAATGTGCGAAAATATGGAAAAATATGGTAGCTCAAACGAAAGGGAAAAATAGCAAAAAAAACTTAAAATCAAAATCAAACGATAATAAAATATATGCTAAAAATGTATGTATGTGTGTATATATATCTAATGTAGTGTCTCGAAAATCACTTGTAAAATATATTATATTACTGTATATATAAGATATAAAATAAAAATAAATATTGTAAATACAAACATATATGCATGCACATGTCGGTATAATTTATTAAAAATATTTGTATATAACTTTCAAAATATATTTAAATAATAATAAAAACCAAAAATTTATAAAACAAAAAATTTAAAATAAAAGTAAAACTAAGATTTTGAGGTTAGAATTTGAAATATTGGCCTAGTAAAAAGTAATCCATTATTTTTTTAGTCCATCCTTGCACTCTTTAACTGCAATTGGATTGCGCTAGATGGCGCTAGAGAGACAATATTTTGCACTAAAAAAAAAAGGAAAGCACTGTTGATCACTTAACTCAGTCGTGTTTGAGTGCAAGCCACACCAACAAAGGGAAAATACGCACGTTTCAAGAAAATTTTCTTCGATAAAGGCGAAAACCCAAGTCACCCAGCAAAAAATGTGAATTATGTTGATTGTGATAGACACTGTAGCAAGCAATTAAGTGCAATTTCGGTGCCGTCGATTGCGTTGCGGTAATTTTTGTGTGAAAGATGCTCCACAATGTGGGGGTCACTTGTTGAAAATTTCGATAAATTAATGGAAATCGCTGCCACTGACTATCATGGGAGCACTGCTTCGATAGCCCAGTAGTTGTAGATTGCACAAGAAACAGTTTGCAATCGCTAGAAAAAGGTCTGGCTACCTAAAGAAGCTCGATGTACGGATGTCACATGAGTCAACCAGAAACACGCCTCTTGGACCGGATTTCTAACTTCGAATCACTGCTGAATTGTCAAAAATCGTAAGCACTTCTGGGGCGGATGGTGACTGCTGATGAGAAGTGATTTTTACTTACAGTGACATCAAGCGAAAACAGTCGTGAGCAGGCACAAGCTGTGCCCAAGCCAGGACTGACAACCAGTAAGGTTTTGTTGTATATTTAATGCTATTGACAAGGAATCATGCGCTATGAACCGTTTGAATGAAATAAACGCGCGGAAGAGTCCAGCTTTGGTCAGCAAAAAGGTTTTTATTTGTGTTTCACCAGGACAACGGACAGTAATGACTCGTCAGTAATGACTCGTCGGTAATGACTCGTCAGTAATGACTCGTCAGTAATGACTCGTCAGTAATGACTCGTCAGTAATGACTCGTCAGTAGTGACTCGTCAGTAATGACTCGTCAGTAATGACTCGTCAGTAGTGACTCGTCAGTAGTGACTCGTCAGTAGCTTCGAGCGCTTGGTTGGAAGGCTCTTATGCATCCACCTTATGGTCTGAAGTTCGCATCAAGTAATTACCATCTCTTCCTGTCCGTGGCAAATGAATAGGCTGTTGAGAAATTGGCCTCAAGAGAAGTCGGTGTAAGTCCTTTGTGCCAATTTAATGCCATAAAGATTTCTATGTGAGAAGCATAATGATATTAACCTCAAAATGGTGAAAATTTATCGAGCAAAATGGAAAATAATTCACATAAATCGTATAATTGACTGGAAAAAAATAATGGATTAATTTTTACTAGACCAAATAATAGTAATTATTAAAAATATTTGCATATAATTTTGTAAATAAATTAAGTTAATAACTCAATAATTCAAATAATAATTGTTATTTCAAAGAAAAAAGTGGTCTTTGGATACACTAATCTGGAATTCTGGGGTTACAATACCAAATTTTGAGGTTAGAATCTCAGATTTTGAGGTAAGAATTTCAGATTTTGAGGTTACAATCTCAGATTTTGAGTTTAGAATCTTAGAATTTTGAGGTTACAGTCTCAGATTTTAAGGTTAGAACTCAAATTTTGAGGCTACAATCTCAGGTTTTGAGGTTAGAATCTAAAATTTTAAGGTTAGAATCTCAGAATTTGAGGTTACAATCTAAAATTTTAAGGTTACAATTTAGAATTTTTAGGTTACAATCTCAGATTTTGAGGTTAGAATCTAGAATTTTGAGGTCACAATCTAAAATTTTAAGGTTAGAATCTCAGGTTTTGAGGTTAGAATCTGAAATTTTGAGGTTAGAATCTCAGAATTTGAGGTTACAATCTAAAATTTAAGGTTAGAATCTCAGGTTTTATGGTTAGAACTCAAATTTTGAGGCTGCAATGTCAAATTTTGAGGTTAGAATCTCAGATTTTGAGGCTACAATCTCAGATTTTGAAGTTAAGATCTTAGATTTTAAGGTTAGAATCTGAAATATTGAGTTAGATTCTCGAATTTTCGGTTTAGAATCATTAGCGGCTCTTTTGAAGTGCGAATAAATGTAAAAATGTAACAGTTCATGCCACGGCATACTCAACTTTCGCCTCTTTTCTACATTCTATCTATAAAATATTTAATAAATAATTAAAAAAATTATTATAGTGAATTCAACTTACAGAAAAGATCTACTTGAAGCAGTGCAATTGATTTGTAAAATGTTTATCTAACAGTAACTAATTAATTAACTAATTATATAAGGACACGTCTATAGAATAATTCTCCAAAAAAAAACAAATCATTAGTCAATATATTTAAGAAAAAAGGGTATGTATGTATAACCGCGGTGCACGTAGACAGTTAAGCCATATTAAATGCATATATTTAAACATCCACTAAAATTGTTTAACCATCAGTCAATTCAATCTAAATAAAATGCTTATGGAAAGAAAAAACAAATTTCAGACTTTTTTATTTAATCTATCATATAAGTAAAGGGTGCTTTTTTACTCATGTGGCTTTCAAAAAGAAATAAAATGCATGTAATTTTTTGCTATGGGCAAGAAATCATCATCATTATTATAAGTATTCGGCGGCCGCGGTAGCCCAGCGGTTAGCATTACCTACTGCCATTCGGAAGGTTCGGGTTCAAATCCGGGTGTCTTACTAATATCCAAAAATAAAAGAATCAAAAAAATTAGATAAGTTTTCTAATTGCGGTCGCCTCCGGCAGGGAATGTCTACCCCTCCGAGTGTATTTCTGACATG